TTAATAATGTTTTGCCAGTTTGATAAAAGAATTACAAAAAGCTTCATTTTTATTATTGTCAATATTAATTATTAATACACAAATTGTTATTATTATACATGATTATTATCATTATTATTGCTGCCTTTTTTTTCTTATTAATTAATCAAATTTATTGTGTATGGCCATACGCCCAAAAGCGCTTCACAAACATGAGGGGGGTCTCTCCACACCACCACCAGTGCGCAGCATCCACTTGGATGATGTGGCGGCAGCCACAGGACAGCAGCGTCAGTGCTTCACCACACACCAGCTATTGGTGGAGTGGAGTGACAGTGATAGATTCTATTTGGTGGATGGGGATGATTGGGAGAGCATGATGGGTAAGGGCCGAGAGGGAATTTAGCCAGGACACCAGGGGTTACACCCCTACTCTTTAGGAGAATATGCCATGGAATATTTAATGACCACAGGGAATCAAGACCTTGGTTTAACATCTCATCCGGAAGATGGTGATCACTGACAGTGTAGTGTCCCCTTCACTTTTACTAGGGCGTTAGGACTCACACAGACCACAGGTTGAGCGCCCCCTGCTGGCCTCACTAACACCAATTCCAACAGCAACCTAGTTTTCCCATGTGGTCTCCCATCCAGGTACTGGCCAAGCTCAGCCCTGCTTAGCTTCAGTGAGTAACTGCTTGGGCTGCAGGATGATATGGCTGTGGTAGGCAATTCGGGGCAGCACAGTGGCTCAGTGGTTAACACTGTTGCCTCAAAGCAAGAAGGTCGCCAGTTCAAGTTCCAGCTGGGCCAGTAGGCCTTTCTGTGTGGAGCTTGCATGTTCTCCCCGTGTTATGTGTTGGTTTCCTCCGGTTTCCCCCACACAGTCCAAACACATGCACTGTAGGTGAATTGGGTAAACTAAATTGGCTGTAGTGTATGAGTGTGTGTGAATGAGTGTGTATTGGTGTTTCCCAGTACTGGGCTGTGGCTGGAAGGGATTTGCTGTGTAAAACAAATGCTGGAATAGTTGGCGGTTCATTCCGCTGTGGCGCCCCCTGTTAAAATAAAGGGATTAAGCCAAAGGAAAATGAATGAATGAATCCAATATGAGAAAAAATTCTGTAAAATCAGTTAAAAGCATGTTTATTTATTATTTTTAAAAAAGTTTTAATACTATATTTTATGCGTAACCGAAAGAAAAAAAAAAAAACAATAACGAAGAACTTTTGGAGTATAAAAAAAACAAATTGAGGGAAAAAATGATAATAACAACATGTTTCTCAGTTAATTAAATTGACAAAAGAATTAAACAAACATTTATTTTTATTACTGTTAATATTAATTCTTTATACACATTAATATTATAAATATTAATATTATTATTATTAGTGTTGTTGTTATAATTATTATTAAACATGATTATTATAATTATTGCCTATATTTCCAATTAATTAGCAAGAATAATTATTTGTCAAATCATTAAAAAATAAACAAACATTACATTATTTTATTATGATTCTTTGTTTTTAAAATATCGAACAAGACTTCTGGAAAATATTGTGCAAACGATCGTACATTTTCAGTTTTATGCAAAATACGTCATCCTGATTCTTCTTGTGATTTGGAGATGAAGCGTGTGATTGGTGGATGACTCTAAATGAGTCCTCCAGTCCTGCAGATTCACAGATCACTTTAGATTTGAGTGTTTTTTTGTTGATGCCGGTGAGGAAAGAAGGCACGAGGAAACCCGTCGCAGGGCAGTGAACAGAAAAACACACACACACACACACATACACACACACTAACCCAATCACCGACTCTCTGAGAATCTGTGGAAAACACACACACACACACACACACACACACACACACACGCACACACACACGCACACACACGCACACACACGCACACACATCCTCCGAAATGAACACAGGTGAGTGCAGAACCCCGTTTCCCATGATGCACCTGTGCTGGAGCATCACTCCTGACCGAAGCCCTCGGTCTCCTCGATGGCGA